ACTTCCGGTCAGCGCCATCAGCTAATGGCGGATTCCCTTTGATCAGGAGGGGATCGGCTCCGCGGAAATCGGGTCCTTTACGCTGCGGCGAAGCGGGGACCCTTACAAATCACAGGCAGTGAAGCCTGGGAACGTGGGGACTCGGCGGGCACCTTTTGCGCCCCCCCAGCTTGCGAGGAAGCCTTTTTCGGGGCTTCGGAGCAGAACGGGGGAGAGGCACTGTGCTGTGAGTCGATTGCTTCTTTCGCGGAGCGAAGCCGCATGGCCGTTGCTGGAGAGCGCTGACTTCTATCCTGGAATAATTGGATTTTAAAGAAAGTACCCGTGAGTAGGGGGAATTGGACTTATTGAAGGAAAAAAAGACTTAATTGGCTACCGCGGCGGGAGGTACAACCAGGAAGTCTGCCTCCTGTTCTGTAAATAGATCAAAGCATAGAGACTTTAGAGCTAAAGCGCTGGAAATAAGTTTGCAAAGGGTTGCTTTCCGACTTGAGAACTTTTCTGAACCCCCCTCCTAGAAGCAGGGAAGGAAGAGGGCTGTTTCGGACTGTTTAAACCTGCATAAAGAGAGGAGAAGTGTTTAAAATCCACCGTTCAGACCTGGGAACGGTCTGCCAATGAACTAAGACTATTGCTTTCAAACTTGCGCGTCAGCTCTCAATAGAAGGATTTTTTGACAGTAAGGTGGATACATTGTGGCCAGCTTTGGTGTTCTGTCTCTGTTGGGAAAAAAAGCAACCGGAAGGTAACTAAATTGGAACTGTTTTTATTCCTCGGCTGGAGTCTTCTCTCTCTCTCTCTTTTTTTTTTGTTAAAAGAGGGAAAGTTACTCTTTTGGACTATTGCAACTGTGTCCACCTAGGGGGACCCTTAGAAATTGCAACAAGGGGAATTTTCCACTGGCAAACAGGAACAGCTTATCTGAGAGTGACCTTGGCTTTTCTGTTACTCTATTGTTAAGGCAGATGGGAAAGAGAAAATAGACACGTCAGTTCTGAGGTCTGGGAAAGCTTGGGGGCAGCGAAGGCAATCAACTGCTGGCCTTCCTACTGCATCGGGATTGGCATCTACACAATCTAAGCCTAGCGGAATGACAGAAGAAGTTTTAGCGAATGCATTGGTTAAGATCAATGAAACTCTATTACAACTCAGTATGAAGGTCAAAGAGACCAATAAGAAGGTCAATGAGACCAACAAGAAAGTTGATACTGCAAATAAAAAAATTGACTTAAACACAGAAACATTAGATAATTTGGGGAAAAAGGTGAATAGTAATACAGAATCTATTCAGAAATTACTGCAGGAATCGAAATTGACACAGGAAAAAACTGCTGCTGTGGAATTTAAAGTAGTGCAGCTGGAAACAGAGAAGGTGCCAGGCCTACAGAAGGAAATTGCAGATCACAAGCTGACGCTGTCTATGATCGAATTGAAAAAAAACAGACGAATTTAAGGATCAGAGCTGTTCCTGAATTGGAGACGGGCACCTTGACAGATTTTCTGACACAAGAATTTGCAGAGTTTTGGAAATCGGAATTGAAACAAGAAGATTTTAAGATCGTGAGGGCTTTCAGGTTAGGAAAAGGAGGAAAAAAGATTAAAATAAGGGACTGCCTGATTACCCTCCGATCCAAAGAAGAAAGGGATAAAATTTTGGGTTTGCATTTTCAGAAACCTTTGATAATTCTGCAATCAAGAGTGGAAATCTTCAAAGACATACCGAAACATCTTTTGGATCTAAGATACGACTTTGGAGATTTGGTGGCCCTATTGAGAAAAACAAGATCCTTTTCAGGTGGGAATTCCCCCAAGGCCTATCTTTCAGTTTCAAAGGAAGAAAGATAAAAATAAGATCAGCGGAGGAAAAAGATAAGTTTTTGAGTACACACGAAGAAGACCTGCAGAAAGGACTTGGAAAAGAGCCAGCCGTACTAGACAAGAGTTTACCAAAAAAAAGGAAAATCAACGCCACCGACTGATATAGACAAACTACTGGGCGCTGTTGGGGGAGAAGGAGAGTAATTACATCATGACACTGCAAGTACTAAGTTGGAATGTGAATGGACTGAACTCCCGGGGAAAAAGGGGGAGAGTATTTCATATATTAAAAAAAGAACATTTGGATTTGATCTGTTTACAAGAAACGCATGTGACAAGGCTACATCGGAAAATTTTGACTAATAAAAGATTAGGAGAAGAATTTATTTCATCAGACAAAGTTAAAAAAAGAGGAGTAGTACTTTATGCAAAGGAAAGCCTGTCACCGAAATTTTTATTTAAAGATGACCAAGGAAGATTTATTGCAATTGAAATTCAACTACAAGGTGAGAAGTTTTTGATAGTAGGTACTTATGCACCGAATGAGGGAAAATCGGAATTTTTAAAGAAATTGCATGAAATTTTACTGGACTATTTAGATTATAACATGATTTTGATGGGAGATATGAATGGAGTGGTGTCTACGAATATGGATAAAGCCCAAAGACAAACGGTGACGAAAGATGGCAGACTACCAAAGACGTTCTTTGAAATGACTGACAATATGGACCTTGTTGATATTTGGAGAACTAAGAACCCCTTGGGAAGAGAAGGAACTTTCTTCTCTGAAGCTAAAATGACATGGACAAGAATAGACCAAATCTGGATAACTAGGGGACTGGCCCCGAAGATAAAAAAAGTGGAAATTTGCCCTAAAACTTGCTCCGACCACAATGCAGTGAAGATGGAAATGACATTAACACCAATTGGTACTTTTAGATGGAGGATGAATGACTCCTTGTTTAGGAATGAGGAAATTACTAAAAAGGCTCAGAAAAATTTGAGAGATTATTTTGAGATAAATATGAATACCACAACTGAAAAAAGAGTGATTTGGGATGCAAGCAAAGCAGTTATGAGAGGGGTTTTGATACAACAAAATGCAATCAAGAAAAGAGTTCAAAATGAAAAAAGGGGAAAAATTTTGGAGAAAATAAAGGATGGAGAAAAGAGACTGAGGGCGAAACCGAAATCACAGGAGATCCTGAAAGAGATGAAGTTATATCAAGTACAATATATGAAATTGATAAATCAGGAAATAGAATGGAAGATTAAACAGATGAGACAAAAGACATTTGAATCAGCGAATAAGTGTGGGAAACTGCTGGCATGGCAAATGAAAAAAAGACAAAAACTTAACACTATTACGAATCTAGTGGTGGAGGGAAAGAACATACAGAATCCCGCGGAGATCAGAAAGTGTTTTCAGAAGTACTTTAAACAGCTAGATACACAGGAGACTCAGAAAGAAATAGACATCGACCGGTTTTTGAGAACAAATGGATTACAAAAAATCTCTCAAGAGAGTAAATCAATGCTAAACTACAAAATAACTGACCAAGAGGTGGAAGGAGTCATTCAGAACATGAAATTGGGCAAATCTCCAGGGCCGGATGGTTTGACTGCAAAGTATTATAAATCTTTGAAAGAATGGCTAATACAGCCTTTGAAGGAAGTTTGCAATGAAATATTAGGGGGGGAAAAGGCACCCGAGTCGTGGAAAGAAGCTTACATTACACTTATACCGAAAATAGAATCGGAAAAGACA